TTCTAGCAGCAGTTATGCTGTTACTACAGGAGGCAAATAAGTTAACCTTTTCTGCTCCAGTGGCTGTTTGTACTAGTCATGCCCTGCAGACGATTATTGACAATAAGGGACATTTATGGATTAGCAATCAAAAGATGCATAAGATACAGGCCCTTTTATTAGAAAATCCACAAGTTACACTGCAACAGTGCTCTACTCTCAATCCGGCCACTCTTATGCCAATACCAGATTCAACTATTCCCGTGCATAACTGCATGCAAACAATAGAATTACAATATTCTTGCTGACCTGACCTTACGGACCAACCATTGTATAATCCAGACTTTCAGTGGTTTACTGATAGATCCAGCTTTATGGATCAAGGAATTAGATACTCTGGTTACACAATTGTTTCTCAAACTGCAAATGTAGAATCAGCACAATTACTTAGCCAAGCAAGTGCACACTTTGCAGAATTATATGCCTTAACCCGAGCATTAGAAATAGCTGCAGGAATGATTTTAAATGTATATACGGACAGTAAGTATGCATTTTTGACAATTCATGCACATGCAGCAATCTACAAAGAAAGAGGATATTTGGACTCCACAGGCAAGATCATCCAATATGCAACTTTGATTAAAAGATTTATTAAAGCAGCCCAATTACCGTCTAAAGTTGCAATCATCCATTGCCCTGGACATCAAAAAGACTCAAGCCTTATTACCCAGGGCAATAGGAAGGCAGACAAAGAAGCCAAAAGAGCTGCGTTAGAAGGTCCCCCCCCTCCAATCGGATGTCACCAGGTTCATGCATTTAGACACTTACCTAGAACAACTTGATCCTACATATACGAAAGAGGAAAGCCAAAAGTTGAAGCAGGATGTACAAGCCAAACTGGTTAAAGGCTGGGACACCCTTCCTGATGGACGCATTGCTGTTCCTCTTGCGCTTGCCTGCCCCCTTATTTTTCAGGCCCATAAGCAACATCATTTGGGAAAAACTGCATTATTACAGCAGTTCGAACGATTTTTCTATCTTCCCTTTGCTTCTTTGCTAACGGCACAAGTATGTTCTCAATGTTCCATTTGTGTCCAAACCAATGCATGCCAAGGACTGGTAGTACCGCCTGGTTGACAACCAATCGCTTATTTTCCAATGGACTATGTCATTGTTGATTTTACTGATAAGCCTAGGAGTAAGAAATATGTAGCCCTGTTAGTTATAATCGATACCTATTCAGGGTGGATTGAGGCCTTCCAACTGTAAATAAGAAAGCTATACAGGTTGCCAGAATCTTTCTTAAAGAAATTATTCCTAGATTTGGTTGCCCTTCTAGGATTTCATCAGATAATGGCCCTGAGTTTGTACACCAAATTAACAAGGCCTTAGCCCAGGCATTATGAATTAAATGGAGATTTCATTGTGCTTTTCACCCCCCAATCGGCTGGTAGGGTGGAATGTGCTCATCGCACGATTAAAACCTTTATTACCAAATTTTGTTTGATAACTCATCTCCATTGGCCAGACATTTTGCCTATGGATTTGTATGCAATCAGACTGGCCCCCCGCACTAAATTACAACTTAGCCCTTATGAGCTCATGTTTGGCCATCCCCTTTGTCTATTTAAACCTGACAGTCAGGGCTGGCCGGACTTGGCTCATAAGGGGGGAATAGACCAACAGAAATTGTTACATCAGTTACAGCTTCATAATTTAGCTGTTTCAAATTTGCGCCATTATATGATGGAACAACAACCCCCTCCAGTGGCCACGGCAACACATGGGTTCAAACCAGGAGATAGAGTATGGGTAAAACACTGGAAATCAGATCCCCTGAGCCCAAGATGGAAAGGAGCATATACTGCTGTTATGTGTTCTCCTTTGGCAGTGAAAACCTTGGAGGGAAAGTCCTGGGTCCACTGGAGTAGATTGAAAGCAGCTGCACCTGCCAATCCAGTAACTTACAAGGTGGATAAAACTGACAAACTTTTAGTGGTAAAATTTACAAGAAATACACCCTGTCGAACCCTACCGGCAACGGGTTCTCAACACACAGTGTGAACATCAGAACTTGCTGAGACACTCTGGAAGCTGTCTCTTTATGCACGGTGGAAGACATGAGGATTCTACAGCTCATAATACCTGTTAGTTATTTAATATGGGGAATATACACACACATTCCTACACAAATCAGTGCAATGGCTACACAAGAGGTCATACTGCAGAAACCCTCTAATAGAAAACTAGTACACACAAAGAAAGAACAAAATAAATGGGAAAGACGAAATTAGATGTTTGGGATAGGAATAGATGCCAACGGCTACAACCCAATATCAGAGGTAGAAATCAAAATTATAGCTGCAACCAAAAGATCAGAACAAAAATCATTATTTTGGTCATATTATGAGGAAATGGAGAAACTAAATACTCCTGAAATACCTAGACATGTAGTCAATACCTTTGTTAAGTTAGCTGAAGATATTGCCCATACTTTAGATGTTTCCAACTGTTTTGTGTGTGGTGGAACAAATATGGGAGAAAAATAGCCATGGGAGGCACAAGAGTTAAATTATACCAAGGTACTAGAAATGTCTGAGAATAGTAGTTTAACCTATACAAGCGGGAAAGATGGTGATTGGACTTTCACTTCCAACCTGGTAGGACATGTACTGTATGTTACTCAAGGAACAAAACAGAATCTTGCATAGCAGTAGGTAACCTCCTATGCACAGGGTCTTGGGAAAACAGTAAATGGTGGTCTGGAACCAACGAAACCATTACTATGGATCATTATGCCCTTACTAACATATCTGGGATGCCATATCTAAAAGACCCCACAAATACCAGTCTCCTTTGGCTAGCCCCAGATGGAATGTACTGGATTTGCGGAAAAATGGCATATGGACAACTACCCAAGAACTGGTGTGGATCTTGTGCATTGGGAATAATTCGACCAGGATTTTTCCTGTTACCATTAAAAACTAAGCAAATTCTTGGAGTTCCCATCTATGATGAAGTTGGCAATATAAGACAAAGAAGGGAACTAAGTGCACACACCCAATGCACAGGAGTCACTTGGCAAGAACATGAATGGCCACCTTGCTGCATTATCCTAGTTTATGGTCTGACTACTTGGGCTGAGGATGGAATGTATGGATACTGTGCCCCTATTTATATGCTCAACAAGCTCATTAGGTTACAAGCGGTAGTAGAGTTAATCACTAATGAGACTGTGAAGGGACTAACTGAATTGGCCAAATAAAATGTGAAATCCGGGACATATATTATGCAAAATAGGTTAGCCTTGGACTATCTGTTGGCCAAAGATATGTGGAAAATTCAACCTAACAAACTGTTGCATCGAAATAGATGAAAGTGGAAAAGTGTTGAAGGACATAACGGACAAAATGGTCAAATTAGCTCATGTTCCGGTGCAAACCTGGAAAGGATTTAATTTGGAAGACATATTTTCAGGATGGTGGCCAAAGTTACCAGGCCTACAAACCATCATAATTATAGCAGTATTGTTAATTCTAGGATGTATTTTGATTCCCTGCTTATTCCCCTGTGTTGTAGCAATGATTCGAAGGATCTCAGAAAGTACACCCAATTAACTGCAAAACATGAAGCAATGTTAGCTTTATGGGAATATAAAATGTTGCCCCCTAAAGATCCTGAATCTTAAATAGGAAAACTTCCAAAGGGGGGAATAATGTGGAATAATAAACAATCACTAGAATAATGATGTGTCTGCATAATTACTGGAATAATGCTGTGTTAGTAGTATGTGACTAACCTAATGCACATTGCACTTGGATACAATGTATGTAGCAAACTCTCTCCATTGTATACCCATGAGAAACGAACCTAATGTATTACAATGTGTACTACAATGTGTATTCCTTTGTTCCTGAGAAACGGAAAGTATAAAACTGAAGTCTGAACCCACCCTCGGGGTTCAGAATTGCTAGTTGCTATTGCTTCTGAACCTGCACAATAAATCTCTCTGCTAAAACCCTCTGGAATTTGTAAGAGTCCTTTCGTTTTCCACAAGAACATGACTCAGTTTTGAGACTAAAGCAAAAAGAAATAATACTTAGGAAATGCTGAACAATGGTTTTAGAACAGTTTTGTCTTGGTTAAACAGCAAGAAAAAATTGCCAAAAGCATTTGTCCTTTAGAGAATAGAATGTGGGATTGTTCATTAATAGGGGATTTTATTTCTGTGCAGCTAGCAACCTTGTTCTGGAATAAACGTGCATATGTTTTATATTTTATAGCTAAAATAGTTTATATTTTACACACTATAAAATATATGCATACTTATTCCAGAACAAGATTAATAGCTGTATTGGCCTCAAATATATCAAACATATTTAATTGGCCTCAAATATATCAAACATATTTAATTAGCTTTAAGTGGATCATATGTTATAATTTTGATATTTGATATCCTGATATCTTGGAGTTTGATATCCTAATATCCATACAATGAATTTAGTATCTTCAAATATTAATTGGCTCATATTTATATAAAGGCCTGATATTTTTAAAATTATGAAAGAAGAATATGCTTCCTGTTTAAATTTTATATAAATAAATTATACAGTTTCTGTTGTACCCAACAGAATAGTAATAGTTATGTTTTTTAAAAAACATTTTAGCCATATATAAAACATACAGATAAAGTTGATTTACATAATAATATGTAATCTAATTCATAGAATTAGTAAATGGGTATACATCACTTACAGAACAATATCAAATAATGAAATTAGAATTTGTGGTAATGTTTACTAATTGAAGTGCAATGTATGAAACAAAACTATATTCATGGTAGGTAAAATAAGTGATATAGTGGTGAGCAATTTATTTGAGAGTAAGCATGTCATCCTTACCATATAATAGCAAAGTTTATATGACACGTTGTAGGCTCCCTTAATGTATATCTTTTTAAAATTTACTTAACATTGACAGAGATGCTAATTTCTCTCTTGGTGTTGGTGTTTGTTTTACAGATCCTGTTATCTCAAAAGTATTGGCAAAACCAGAGAATCTTTCTGCTTCTTTCATTGTTCAGGACATTAATATTACAGGCTATTTTTCCTGGAAAATATCAAAAGCAAATCTTCACCAACCAATGACAGGGTTTCAAGTCACTTTGGCAGAAGTCACTACAGAAAGCAGGCAAAACAGCTTACCAAACAACATTATCTCCCAATCACAAATATTGTCAGTAGTAAGTCTGTACCTTTTCTGTGGGGGGGGAGGGGGATAGATAGGAGGGAAGAAGCAAGGAAGAAGCTGAGTTGATTCATCACTTGAACCTGCTGAATGCCTCAAATATATTTCTTCTTTTATTTCAAGTCACTGTTTTCATTTCCTTTTAGGATCACCATATGTTGACAGTATCCAACCTAAGACCATCAACTCTTTACCGTTTAGAGGTTCAAGTGTTAACCACAAGTAGTGAGGGACCAGCTACAATAAAATCATTTCAAACACCCAATTTGCTAATATCAACACAGAGTGAGTGTTGACATGCTACAAGAACTTATTCTGATGCATGCATTGGCATCACTTTCTTATATGAAACATAATACATTCTGATTATTTTTTGACATACTCTTCTCCATCTGACCTAACAGCTCAAACATAGTCTTTGATTTCTTTAGGATAAAAGATGGTTAATAATTAATCCAAAATTAGCACTCAGATTAGTTTGAAACAGCTGCTTAACTTATATGTAGCTCAACTTTGATTTACCTTCTTTACAATCTTTCTCATTAATGGATTAAAGCTTAAATATTTTCAAACAAAGGAAAAATTTGTAAAATCTATCTAGAACAGCATTTATCAACAGGTGCAGTCCAAATCTTTACTTTCATATCTGGCTTTCTTATAATTTCTAGATTTTACATTGAATGTTTATCCTTTGCACTCAAGAATCTCAAAAACTTCCATCTTGGAATGTTTCTAAAATTTTGTATGCTGCTAAACATTAGTCTTGAGAGTTTTTTTTTAAAGCTGTCTGCCATCTTTAAGTAAGTTCTGGACAAAGGAAACAGCAATTTTGAGAGGGCAGTAAGTATTTCAATTTTGCCATGCATGATCAGACAATATTACAGAACCGGCAGTCTCTCCAGAGGAAAGGAGTCTTTGGTAATCCTATTTGGAATTGTGGGAGTTGAACTTTTCTTCACATATACTTTTTTCTATCACTCAGCCATAGCCTTTTTCTTTGATACACTGGCATATATAGAAAGCATATAAAAAGATTTATGGGCAAGTATGAAATTAATTCATAATTATTATAACTATTCATATAATTTATTAAGCATTTGAATTCTGTTCATGAATTCTGATGCTAGTGTGAAATGTCTAATTTTCCAAGTGAAATGATTACTTCTAATTGCTAAATATTACATCTATACAATTAATATCTTGGACTATAATACTCATGTGAGGGTACATGTTAGTTTCATTTGAGGTATGAACCAAATAATTATTAATTCATATTAATAATTAATAGTTCATATTATTAATAGATAGATTATTTCCTTTTATTTATGATAGGCATGATAAAAACAAAGAGATCTAAGGTGGGTAATTCTGAAGAGTTGATATTGGGGAATTGCCAACTAGGCTGGAAGGAGGGTCAAGTGAGGGCCTAGTTTGGAATCATTTGCAGCTGCAAGCGGCATAAGCATGACCCCCTCCAAAATCCATGAAGCCTTATCTAGTTGTTCCCAGGGTAAGGGAAGCAGTCTGGTGAAATTCTTGGGACATAGATGATAAACAATAAAGTTACAGCCTGAGGCTATTTACAAGTGGATCTGGTTGCTTGCATCTGAGTGTTGAAACATATATTCACAATGAGAGAATGTGAGGGGAAGAAAGAAAGGACGATGATACTAAAAACAAGATTTCACTTCACTGATGATCACAAATATTTGGGATGTGCAAGTAGCAATTGCCAGGGCTTTTTTTTTGTCACAGAATGCCCAGAAAAGAGTTCCGGATGCAACCTTGTAGGGTAGGCAAGGCGGGTTGTATGATGTATGTGAATTACAAAAAAAGCACTGGCAATTGCTATCAAATCTTCTGCATGTTTAGACAAGGGTAGCAAGAAAAAATAGCAAGGTTATTCAAGCAAGACTGTAAGCTTAATAGTCTAGGCCACAGGTGTCAAACTCGCCATGTCATATGACGTGTCACGATGTATCGCAACTCTTTTCGCATTACCAGCAATAGGGTGGGCGTGGCTTTGGTATAATGAAACCATGGGCCAGCAGTTTGACACCCTGGTCTAGGCTAAGCCTAATAAACTCAGAATTATGCTCTTTCTCAAGAACTCTCTAAATCAAACAAAAACATCTTCTTGGATCTTTAAGACATCTGTTTATTATATCCTTGTCCAACATGATTGGTCAAGGCTAGCTAGAAGATAACCTGTTGTTGATCTCATGTCAGAACTGGGATGGGTACATCCCTCCTTGGGTTCCCTCCTTGTGTTCCTTGTTCTCTAAGACACTTCCAGTGCCATTAATCCCAGTAATCCTCAGGACTAGCTACAAGATTTTGATGTGGAGGCACCATTTTGCAGTAGTTTTCATCCTTTCTTTATGACCAGTTTCTATAGTTTATATGGTACGAAGACCTAGAGTCTACAGCCCTTCATTTGTGAAGGTTGAGACCCTAATGAATAAGCTTTTTTCTTGTCATATGTTGTCTTAGGGATACTCATAATCTCTTTTGATCTTTATCCCTTTTTGTATTTTTAACTATAAGTCATCCAGACTGGTTGGGTATCAGGCAGCCCATAAATTGTATGTATGAATTTAAAATAATATAAATAAATACAAGAATGACTCTTGAAGAATTGACAGTATGTGAAATGTAAAGATCTGCCTCAACTAGACTTCCCAAGAGAGTAGAACTCTTGAAACAGGCATCATTTCAAAAGGAACTTTTTATTGAGAGTTAGTGATGGCAAGAGAGTAAAGCAAGGTCTGCAGATTTAGTATGTGAAAGAATATGTCCAAATGGCAATTCAAACCTCCTCCCTCCCAATGTCCAACCATCCAGTTGAAATTCAGCCAATCCACAGGTGCCAGGCTGTTATGAGAACAGGGGGATTTAGCACTTCTTTCAAGGACTCTTGGTTTCGTTTCCCAACAGTCTCAGGCTTTGATGTCTGGAAATAAGACAGATGTTTTCAGGTTGCATTTCTCACACCCCAAGGGAGGACACCTTACACAGAACCACGCAAAGCAGCTATTTCTCCCATGCAAGCACCCCTCCCCCAACAGAGTGGCAAGCCCCGAAAATGAATACATAGGCAAAAGCAGGAAGGGAAGGAATAAGGGAATTGAAGGCAAATATAATTGAGGGGCCCTGATATATGCCCCCCCCAATAGAAAGACAAAATAGGAGGGGAAAGCAGAAAACACGAACATTAATTAGGTTTATCTGCATAACGTTTATGAAAGCATTTGAGCAAGCTAAGAGCATTAATATGTTTTTTATAAACCCATTCATTTTGTGAAGTGGGCAAGCCCTTCCAGGCCACTAAGTACTGTGTGGACCCATGATGTTTGCATGAATCTAAAATGTCTTTAATTTCAAAGTGTTGCTCACCCTGTACCATAATGGGTTGAGGGACAGGAGCAGCAGCCGGCTGTAGTTAAGAGGTGATTTCAGGTTTCAACAAACTGCACTGGAAAACTGGGTGGATTTGTCTCAAACTCTTAGGGGCTTCCAGCTCCAATGTGACAGGATTAATGAGGTGTTTAATGGGAAAAGGGACAATGTATTTCAGTCCCAATTTCTTCGATGGTTCTAGTGACCATCTACTAGAAAGGTAAACTCTGTCCCCCACATGAAAAGGTTTAGGCTCTATTGTTTTTTTATCAGTCTGTGCCTTATAAGCCTCTCTGGCTTCATCTAAAGCTTTTCTAACCACAGGTCATATGTTCTGCAGTTGATGAACCCAGTCCTTAAGAGAAGGAATAGCAGGCTCATTGGCAGGCAATTCAGGCATAGGAATGGAACTCTGGCCATTAGCCACTTGAAAAGGAGTGAACCCTGTACTGGAATTCACTGCATTGTTTTAAGCCACTTCAGCAAATGGCAGCAAATTAGTCCAATTGTCCTGTTGATAATTAATAAAACAACGGAAGTATTGTTCTAGAACTGAGTTCATTTGTTCTGTCCCCCCATTCATTTGAGGATGATGACTAGATGACAGTCCCTGATCAGAACCTGACAAGTCCAGAAAAGCTTTCCAGAAGTTAGAGGTGAATTGAAGACTCTTATCTGATATGATGCGTCTTGGGGCACAGTGGAGATGATACATATGCTGCACAAATAATTTAGACAAAGTTTTTGCAGTTGAGATCTTCTGACACAGGATAAAATTGGCTTGTTTGGAGAACAAGTCAATGACAACCGAAATGACAGTATTTCCCGCACTTTTGGATAGCTCCACAATGAAATCCATGGAGATCTCTCTCCAGGGTGCTAAAGGGCTAGCCACCGGCTGCAAGAGGCCAAACATTTTTCCCTGCCTTCATTTAGTAGCAGCACAAATAGGGCAGCTGGCCACATAGTTTTCAATGTCCTTTAAAGATGATCACCAAAATTATCTCTTAAGCAGGTGCAGAATCTTTACAAACCCAAGGTGTCCTGCAATTTTAGAGTTGTGACATGCATGATTCTCAGTCTCTGGTCTGTAGGCACATACAGCTTCTCTCCAACCCAAGCCAAACCATCTTGTATTGAACAGAGATTTTTATGGCTGCGGACCCACTCATCCTTTTCCAGTGCTTTCTTGAACTCCCCAAATACCACATTGTCCAATGGTGGGGTTTTCTTAGATTGCGCCCTTGTGGTGGCCAGAGCTGCTAGTTGTTGTGGGGAAACTAGAGGTTTAATTACCTCTGTTTTTACACTGTTATATTGGGTCATTCTTGACAAAGCATCTGCCAGGAAGTTTTTTCCTTTTGGCAGATAGTGGATGGAGAAGTTAAAACAACGGAAATGCTGGCCCAACGAGCCTGTTTCAGAGAAAGCCTCCTAGGGGTTTTCAAAGCTTCAAGATTCTTATGATCAGACCTGGAAAGGGATTCCACTCCCTTCTAAGAAATGCCTGCAGGTCAAGAGCGCCCACCTAATGGCATAGGCTTCCTTCTCCCAAGCTGCCCATCATTTTTCAGTCTCAGTTAATATTTTAGATGTGTAGGCACAGGGTTATAACTGACCCAGTTGGTTGTTTTGCAGTAACACCACCCCAATTGCCATATTGCTAGCATCTGCCTGAATCACAAACGGCTTTTCCAGGTCCAGGTGTTTTAGCACTGGTTTCACGGAAAAAGTCTTTTAAGTTTCTTGAACGCAGCTTGACATTCAGCCATCCATTTTAATGGCTGGCTAGGCTTCTGTTTACCCCCTTCTTTAGTTTTCAGTAAAGAAGGTAGGGAGCACAATTTAGGCAAAGGAAGGGATGAATTGCCTATAAAAGTTGGCGA